ATAAAAGAACTGAGCTGCTGTAGTTGTGTTTTTGTGTCCGCGCTACACTTTTCAGTGATCGTCTCTCTCTCGCTGCTACAACAAGTCACATCTGAGGTACAGTAATAAGCATGAGATAAAACAAGAGCAGCATTAAAGATGCAAAGCCACAGAAATACACCGTCTGACTTGTTGTTTTGTTTTTTCGCCGTCTGACGTTGTGACATTCGCGCACGGCCGTGTCCTGGAGGTATCTCGGTCCCAGAGTAAATTATTTTATCATCCAGATGACTGACTGAAATAACCGACGAGCAAAATTGAGTCGTGAAGCCGCTCCGCTGACTCCGAGTAGGACGACTTCAGAGCCTTAAATATGTTAAACCGAGTCTCTTGGGGTTAAATGTCAATTTGCATATGAGGACAAGACGCTGCAGCTCTGCGAGACTTCTCCGTTTTCTCCACCGTCGTTCACCAAGCGGAAAGAATAAATCGTTTTTGCTGCATATATATCGTTTACTTTTAACGCTGTTCTGTCTTTTCTCCCTGCAGATGTTTAAGCGTAAAAAAACCTCATGTTTGTTTTCCGTATGGCTCAAAAACTAAATGCAACGCTGCGTTTTCTCTTTATAACCCAACAACAAAACACGACACTGTTCTCTTACAGCTCTTCTTGTGCAGGAACATCAAGTTAACGCTGATTTTTTGGGCAGCAATGTAGCGCTACGATTCTGTATAAATATTAAATTCTACATCCATCACACCATTTCTGTACACGTAAAGGTGCATACTGTCTTTATTATATCTGTGTTTTTCAGATTATATTTACATTTCTTGTGCTGCTTCTTCCTATCGAGCTGCTGTAACGTGTACATTTCTGTGGCGAGGGATAAATTAGTAATATTTGTATATTTATTAATTAATATTTGGTTGTTGTGCTGCAGGTTGTTAATTTTGAAGCATAATTTTGAGCTTTGCTGCTGTTTTCGGCTGCAAACGCTCATCAGCCAACTGATTAATGTGAAAACTAATCAATCCGAGTTAATTAAAAGCTTCTTTTTTTAAGATATGTTGTGTTTTTCTGAGTTGGTCAAAGTCACCCATAAAGTAAAAACCCTCGTCTCCCCGAATCAGAGCGACCGCGGCTTAAGGTTGGTTCGGACTCGGGGGAAATACGGCGGGCATTTACATAACGAGCTTAATTATCTGGAGGAGGGAGGCTGAGGAAGCGTGTTTGCTGTTTACGGCGAGCGTGTCGCAGTGACACGGTGGAGGTGACGGAGGGTCGGCCGCTGTGCTCGTCCTGCCAGCTGTTGTGTAACCACAGCGACGTCACCCTCGTGTGTGTGTGTGTGTGTGTGTGTGTGTGTGTGTGTGTGTGTGTGTGTGTGTGTGTGTGTGTGTGCATGGACTTGCCTCTCCTGCCGCCCTGCTCGGATGCGACGCCCTCAGCAGCTACATATGGGTCCTCTTTGAACCTGTGAAAAAAGGCCGCAGGCGGCGACACACACACGTCAAACCTTCGTAGAGCCACTTAGTCGTCATGTTTGATCCCGGCTGACAGCGACTCCGACACCTCCTCTCCTCTCTGCTGGACCGAACGCTTGACGTTTGTTGTCTTTAGGTGCAGTTCAGTTCATTAATATGGTGGCGAACCACAGAGACGCCTGATTAAACCTGACTGACTGGAAAACTGACTCCTTTGCTTCTTTTGTGCAGTTTATTGACAGTGTTTGGACACTTTGAGAGTCATTCTGGTCTCTCCAGATACGCTGCTACAGATACAATTTCCCCTTCGCTGTACTATTTGTACCATATTTATATTTCATATTCTTCATATATATATTTAGATTTATCAATTTTGTACACTGTTGGCCTCTGAGAAATGGCATTTACCTCTCTGTTATCTTCGGGGACTCCATTCAACATCTCTAAATAAGTCATTGACAGAATTTTTTCAGTTTTATTTAAAGGACTATTTACACATAAAGTTGGGTAACAATTTTAATTAGGATATTTTCTGGAGGTTTAAATTGCTGGGGTCAAACTGAACCCAAGGATAAAAGATGCTGAAGGTAACAGGAGGGTTAAACTTCTCTTTATGTAGAGATATTGACAATAAAGTTTAATTTGGCTTTGTTGTAGATTTCATTTTGAAGCGATAACATTTTAATTTCCCTTCAGTCGACTCTATTTCACGCCTAATTTATTGCTTTGCAGAAGCCTGTTTAGCAGCCGGTACAGCTACGGCTCTTCTTGGGTAAGTCTCGACACACCTGAATTTATTCTGTTCTTCCTGCATATCCGACCAGATGTGTTTCTCTACAGATGTTCTGTGAGGTTTAAAACTGGGCTTTCGCTGACAGTCAGAGACTTGTTCTGAAGTTGCTCCAGTGTTGTTTTTTGCTGCTTGTTTCAGCTAATTGTCCTACTTTAAGTGGAACTTGCACTCCGGAGCTCATTAAATCTGGCCGAACAGTCGCCGTGTTGCTGCCACTGATCACATGATGCTGCCACCACCGTGCTTCACCATTAGTCAGATGATGAGCAGCCGCCTGGTGTTTCACCTGACGATACCTGAAGTTCTCCCTCAGCCCAAAGAGTTTAGTTTCATCAGACCGGAGAGTAGTTTTTCTTGTGTTCTACCACAAAGGTCTGAGTGATGGACTTCTGCTGAGATAATTGTCCTTCTGAGAGGTTTTCCGTCTCTGCAGAGGAAAGCTCAAACAGAGCGACCGCTGAGTTTCTGGTCTCCTCTCTGACCAAGAACCTTCAGATAGCTGGTTTTGTAACGGTGGTTCCAAAATGCCTATTGAGGCTTTTCTGCCTCTGGACACACTCCAGTGGTTTTATATCCTGGTCACATCTATACAATTATATCACAAAAGTCTGCAGAGCTCCTTGGACTTCCTGGCTCAGGTTTTTTTGTCAGACAGATGTGTGCCTCTCTAACTTCTGCCCAGTTAATTGAATTTACACTATTTAGACTCTGATCAAGTTTTATACAAGAATGCTAGTGACAAAAAAAGTCCAGTTTCAGTCCAGAGTTTCATTCTAACAGACACAATAAATGAGCCTCCCCTCCCCGTCCTCACATGCTGTCCGTCTTCTGAGCGTCCCACTCTCGTCTCCACTGCCCCGTGGCGTTACGATGGCGAGCTAACCGCTCCTCGTCGATCTGCTCGCGCTCCTTCTTCCAGCGCAGGTACTCGGCTCTCTCCCGGCCGGTCATGGACATGGTCATGTCCACGGAGCCTTTCGGACCGGGCCTTCGACTCTGCGGAGCCAAAAAAGTGCAAACTGCAGTGACGGAAATTTTAAAAAGATTCTCGCTCCTGCAAACCGTCTGTAAAGAACCGCATCACTCACGGTCCACTCTTTCTCCAGCTCGGCTCCCGTCTTCACGTTGTCGAAGTCCAGACCGCCCCAGTTCCGTACGTGTCTCCTGCTGCCCTCCTTGCGGTCTATGTCTGGCGCTGGACCCGAACGTCTCGGGTCGTCCAGGAAGTTGCGGATCGGTTTGTCTCCGTCCACCTGAAAACCAAAAACGATAAATGCAATGCAGACCGCAGCTTTTTAGGATGAAAGTCGAAGCCACAGTTCTGTCATGCGGCAACACATTTCAAAACACAGTTAAATTTGTGTATTTACAGACAAAAACAGCCGAAATGAGACCAGAAATCAAACCAAAACAGGGAGTAAAAATGAGGAAAACACAAGTTATGTTGATAATAACCTGAGATCAAGCAAGAATCATTATCAATTAACCAAATTAGGCATCCTTATTGTGTCGGTGAGTTTGGAAAGTCAGCAGCGACGTCCAAAGTGCTGCAAACGCACAACATCTAATATACAGAAGCTCATTAAAATGTTGATTAAACTCTCGTACCCGCTGTCCTCGCTCGTACTCTGCTATTCTCTCCATTTCTTCGTTCATCTTCTCGATGTTTTGTCGCCGCTTCTCCTCCCATTCCTGTCCAAAAACAAACCATCAGCATTAGTGACAGATGCATTATTTTACAAACACAGACTCATCCATGCATAGTGTGCGCTTGGATATTTCTGTTTGGTCGTCACAGAAGAAGATATTTAGCCACAGATTTTATTATTAGCACCTCCGCTGTGCTGCCCGACTCCCCCATACAAATACATGATTCTCTCTCCCTCTGATGCACCAATATACACCAGTTTATTATTATTTTTCTATGTGAAAAAAAAGATTATAATTCTTGTATAATTCTGCTCCTTAAGTGCAGATTTAAACAGTGCTGTACAGGCACTTTAATAAGCAGGTTACAGTCGATAGGCTGGTTTATTAAATGTAAACAAGAAGCCAGGTTTCAGTAAGAAGGCTGATTTTTACTGGAGAACACAGATTTCTCCGCCATGGATTCAGATTAGTGGGCTTCCAATCAGCCTTTATGAAATAATTTGAAGAAATTAATAATAAAACATAAAAAAAAAAACCAAATATCTATAAACAAAGTTTGCTCATCAGGGAATCCCTGGAGTTGTTGGGTTTTTATTTATAGTTTTGTAGGATTCAAAACTTCAGCTGTAAACTAGTTTTTCATATTAGTTAGGTTAAGTTTTGTCCTTTATAACACTGTGGGGTCTTGGCTATATTATTATATTAGTTGGGTTATTCTCCATAATAGGGCTGCAGGGTGGCGCAGTTGGTAGCACTGTTGCCTCGCAGCAAGAAGGTTGCCGGTTCGCGTCCCGGTGGGGACACCGGAATCTTTCTGCGTGGAGTTTGC